TGTTCTTGGAAGTAACGGTAATGTTGAGAAGAAGTTCCGTAGAGTGAGTATGGAGGTACTTATCTGGCATTGACAATGAGCCACAATCTTGTGGTGTTGTGTTACACCTGTCGACTGTCCATGTGCTTAAGTCGGATGCAATTAACGCGACTCGACAGATATTCGCAGATAGTGACATAGCGTTAATTGGTACTGATTCGCAACATCCAGTTCAAGGTCATCAGTTCATGACTTGATCGCAGGTAATTGATAATACGTGGTATTTCACGGCGAAACTTTCGAAGAATCTATCACATTCGTTCGACAATTATATGTTTAATCGTGAATTGAAATTTTTAGAAACGATTGAGGAAGTAATTTTTTTCTTTAAGTAAAGAGGAAAGATTGAATCAACCAGATATTTTGCGTTACCGAAATATAATGATTGAAACTTGTACAAAGAGATAACGTATATATCAGCTGATAAACCAGGATTTCATTGAATTTCTTCGTCGTAAGAAAAATTAATTGATCTTTTTGCAATTTACGAAACTATATATTTTTATCGATTCGATCATACAATTTTTTTTCTTTCAAATTTATCGCGACATTTTTCTATCGATAAAACGTAATCTTATCTGACGTCGGTTGAAAATTACGCAAGCATATATGAATTTGGATTCTGATATCACACAATCAGAATTTCCTTATGACAATTTAATCGTAGCAACAGATACGAGCGAAATGAAATAGCGCTCAAACGATTTAATCGGAATATTTAATTCATCGAAGATATCAGAGAAGATCGATCTTGTTCCGATTTGTTTGTTTCTTTATTGTCACCGACTTGGTCTTATTTCTTATTTTTATATTTCTTAAATTTCGTCTCGATATATTCAATTATTGTAACAGTTATTTTTTTTTTTAAATTATCTATCTAATTGTTCGAATAAAATTTGAGATATAAATTTATTAGAAGAGAGATAAAACGGCGTGTTAAAGAATTTATCGAAAAATATAATTCAAGCGACAAGAGCACAACGTATCGAATCGATTTGATTGCCGATACCTTTCCAAGAGGCAAGCTACCTATTCTGTACAGAATATCCATCCAGGCCCATAATTCGTGAGTGGAGAGAGGAGAGGGAGAGAATGCACGCAGTGTGCGTTCGATCTAGTCAGTCTCTAGTAGAACGCATGCCGGTCATTGGTTGGTTTGCTCTATGTGGTGGGCGGAGATAGGCGTATGGGAGTACTAAATCGAGCCATGGTGTCCCTTTTTTCCATCCCTTCCTCACCCCCTCCTAGAATCCTCTCACCCCCCTCTCCATCTGGCCTCTCCCTTCCTCCATTCAGTCATTCTCTCTCTCTCTCTCTCGTTCTTAACTATAACATTGGTTGTATCCTTTCGCACAAGTTTTCAACAATTTACCAATATCTAATTGATAAATCGAAGTCTGATTAAAATTCTTCAGGATTTTCTAATTAATTATCTCGTTAGATTTATTTTAGCTATGTGTCAGACATACTTTAGACGTATATCGGAAAACAAGATTTTAATTCTATGTGAGACTTGCTTAATTTGAACGGAACATGAGAGTAATTTGTGTAGAAAAATTAAGAGATTTTTATCAATGGAACATGTTTTACGTTTGCTACGAAAACGCGAATTGACCGCAATTCCGCTAAGGATTCAGCAATGAAAGAATTAAAAAATTTTTCACTCAAGATGCGCAAAAGTGGATGGAATGTTTGTTGAAAATGCATAAAGGAGTATAAGGGAGAGGCAGATGGTAAGTCCAAGAGACCAAGAGACCAAGTGCATTATAACGGCAGTCCAGTTGCATTGGCCGCTGGTCCAAATCGGCTGGATGCTCGCCGAGGCTGCAACCGAAGGCGAATACACCATCAGACACGTCCTTTTTCCTTGGTTCGCAGCTCTTGTTCCCGCAGGACAGGATTGACCAGTTCTCGGCCGATGCAAGTTCGCAAGATATTCAAATGCGCCTAGTCGGTGTTTCTTCGCGCTTCCTTCGCTACTCGTTCCCCTTTGTTTCTTTCATACTTTTGGGAAGAATCTCTCTCTTTATTTATTCGCCTAGTTAACGAAAGAATTCTCGAGCAAAGGGGAACTGAATGTAGCTACGAGAGAAACCCTTTTATTCCCGCCATATTATTCTCGGATGAAATTAAATAAAGATATGTGTGTAAAATACGTATGTTCAAAAAGTGGAATTATAGAGTTATTTCCTTCGCATATCTACACATAAAATGAAATTTATACTAATATCTAAGTTGATTATATATCTGGTTGATCCTTTTTCTCTCATGATATAACTGATGATAAATGATTGTTTCGGAGAATTGTTGAGTCATGTTGATTCTTTTCCAAGATGGAGGACGCGCGTAGCATATATTCCACCTGTTCTTCACCAAGGAAGGTCGATTCGCTTTTCAACGGGTTAAATCGATTATCGTTTCCAACCTTCTTCCTTCTATACATTTCCATTAACTTTTATTTATTATTCTCTGGATATCTTTTAAGATGTTTAAGATGTTGCATATCATTTTTATATTACAGTGTTTACAAAAAAGATTTTATTCGTTTTATTCATTCCTTTCTTGAAACATTTATACATTTCTTAATACATATATATAAATTGATTTATTAATTTTTCTTCATATAGATTAATGAAATAGAAATAACAGTTGAGCTTAATTTTATTCAAAGATTTTGATTTTTCAAATAAATTCTAAGCACTTTTCTCTTTTATCTTAGGATATAATTGCATTCTTTTTCATTTATGCACCATTTTATCATTGATAGATATTCGATTTTTTTCGATTTTTCTCACTTTGTAAATATTTTACAATTTGTGTACGTGTAATGCACATACGTATCTAAAAAGCAACATCTGATATCGTGTTGCTATGGGAACGTTTCTTCTTCTCTTCTTTTACTCCTCTCTGCTTCTCTTCTTTTTATTTTTTCTTTTCACGGATTTCTTGCGGTTCGTGAGGAAATCTATCTCCACCGTATATAGCTATATTTTTGTAGTCATAGAGACGAGTGTCGTCGACAATGGAAAGGAATCTGTGTCGATCTATGTAATTAACTTCTCATGCTAGTAATTTACAGTCAGTGTTCGATTTCCTTCTATATATGTACTTGTATTATATTCTTTCTTTGGTTGAATTCAGTAATTCAGTTTAATCTTCGCTAAGTTTAATTCTTAATAAAGTATTTCTTGACGTATGTTATCAATTATTGCGATCTAAATTTGGAAAAACATTGCGATGAATACATATACATGTGTAATACATAACGAAGAAATTTGAAAAGAAATTCTACTCCTTAAACCTTTAAATTGTTGACCAAAATTTAACAACGAATAGATATTAATTTTCTTATTGCAAAATCGAAGAGAATTGAAAAGGAAGAATGTCGTACCAGAAGTAAGGATGATGAAAAATTTGTGCTAATGATCGACTTCATTTATTTTATCAGCTATTAAAAAATAAAAATATTAATAAAGATTGATATATTTTTTAATGAAAGAAATTTACAATGTTCGTGAATAGCAAATATTTGTCTTTCATCATCAACTTTTCTTTATTAAAAAACAACCAATATATATATATATATACACACACACACACACAAGCATACACATTTATGTATTCCGTGAACGTTCATTGTTCACCCAGCTAGTGTTTCATTCCGCGAAGCGAGTCGAAGTGAAAATATATCAGCAGAGATAAAGGATTGCGTGTTGAAAACCGAGTCTGTGCTACCAATTATTAACTTGACCAATATTACTGGAATTCACATGAATATTTTTATGAAACTTTGCGAGAAAATAAAACAAGAAAAATACATACTTCATTCTTTTTCATGCTATTAGATTGATATGATGTATTATATTTTTATTATTTCTTATTTTATTACATATTATTTCTCATAGAAATATATTTCCTTCCGATATTGCTTTCTGTACTACTATTTCACATCATAAACTATAAATTCCTTTTTGTCTCCTAATTCTTTTCTGAAATACATTTGTAATTCGATATTTCAATTAACTTCTGAAAGATTGTCATCTTAAAAATTGTGATGGAAATATATGGTATCCATTATGAGGTATAGAATACAAATTCCTTTATGAATATCCATAATCTTGCCTATTTTTTAGAACGAAAGGGGAGAGATTAGATAGAAGTGTAAAATATCGATTTGAGAGAAATTATTTCAAAAATATTAATGATAAAATATATATGTGTATGTGTTCGGCCCTGGGATATGCAGTTCATTCACACGACTGTGTCTCGCTAAATATAATATGGCGGTGACCCCGGTCCTCCACCGTCGACTCTTCTCCCTTCCCCGACCCCTCGATACCCCACTACTACTCCCTTCGATGCTTCCCTAATTCAACGCCCCTGTGATTGCGTCTCTGCCCCCGCGTCACTCCTCCTTGTCCTCGGCACCATACCACTCCGCTTCTTCGTATGTTCCCTTCTCTTTTCCTTTCTCTTCTCTTCGCTTAACTTCCTTTCTTTTCTCTTCCTCCCCTCCTCTTATCCTCTTTTGCCCCTGGAGCTTTCTATTCTCTGTCTCCCAAGAAAGAAAAACCGAGCGAGAAGAGGCCTCTGATCCTCTTATCTTCCTGTTACTTTTACGGTTGTTTCAGTCGTACCAACTGACTTGATGATTGCACCAGCTCTTACCCACGAGCTTTTCAAATTTATATTCATGTCATAAAATTTTTTTTTTATCAATTTTAACGACGAGTCTTAAAAGTTTTGGTTTAAATATGTAGCAAATGTTAATTGTATTTAAATAAAAAAGTTTGAATAAGATTCAAATTTTTAAAGAATTTCATTGGAAGAAGAAATGAAATGTAGAATTTAAAAAGAGAAATTTTCATTGATGAAAATTGCCATGTTTTTAAGAAGAAACATGGTATAATTAATTATTAGTTACTAAAAATTTCTTCTTTTTTTTGTTTTTTCTACGATAGATGGAGACCAAAAAGGAACGATTGCCAAGGAAAGAGAGGGGTGCAGCTTTTCATGTAGCGTACATAATTCCCCCTTGACTACTTCTGCATCCAGATCCTTCACCGTCTTCCAGACTTTAAGACCCATCCACAACGAATGATCCCAATTTTCCTCCTAAATCTTTTCTCCTAAACTTGGAACTTCGAGATTTAAAATTCAAATTCACGATGAATTTGTCTTTCAAACAATATTCAAGGTAAAATTAACATTTTTTTCATTTTCTTATGCATGAGTATTAGATTAAGAGATTTCTTTATAATCGAATATCCAAGTTACTTTGTGTTCTTAAGTAGAACACAAGTGACCAGTTAATCCGGAATATGTATTAATTTATTGCACGTATTCCAGGGTCCAGATCGTAAAGAATAATCGGTCAGTTGGAAACAGTACCTAACATCCCTTAGGGCCGCGTGAGGAGAAATGCAGAGGCCATTCAACTGTCTACGAGCGAAGCAGGCAGGGGATTTTTACAACGCCCGACTCTCTACCTACTCTCCTGTATTCTTCTTGCTCTTCTTCCCTCTCTTCGTCTTCTTCGTCCTTTTCTTCGTCTTGTTTCTTATAGGATAGCCTCGGCCTTCTTTTTCTATGCCCTCCTGATCTCTCTACCCGGCAACGGCGTGGCGAATCAGGGAATCTCATGCGTGAGAAATTCGAACCTAAGAACCTTCGAAATATATGAAATTTGATATGAAGAATATCGCTTCTAAATAATAATTTTTAGAATATGCCTATCCGTTCAATAGGTTTATTAATTTTCAACGAGTTTCACAATTATCGATATTCCTTATCTCTTGATTAATTGTCATAAGTTTATTAAGTAATCAACGATTATAATAGTTGATTTATTTATTTAAACAACTCTTTTAATTTCGTTAATATTCTTCTTTTTATTTTTCTTTTCTTCAGTTTGATGATAAATGAACATTATTAATGAACAAATTAAAAAAATGAATAATGAATAATAACAATGAATATATATATATATATTTAATTATATAATCAAAAATAATTGTTCGTTAATTTTCAGGTGCAGTTACAGTACTTTTCAATGGACAAAAACGAGCAGGAAAAAGGAAGTTAGGAATACAGCGCGGAACAATCCAGTGATAGCCGTTATCAGCTATACTTGATGATACTAACCCGTAGATCCGAACTTGTGGGCTTTTTTATATGTATACCGCAAGCTCCTATCTACCGGTACATGTAGTCAGGCCAGCATTTAAGCTTTTCAACGGAACCTCCTCCTTCTCCTTCACACCCTTCTGCCCTCCTGAAAGCCCGCAGCACTTCCGGTTATCAACGCGTATACTTCTTGTCAAGTAATTTTCTCGATGGAATAAAAGAGTGAGAGATAGAGAGAAATAGAGAGAGAGGGAGAGGGAGAGAGAGAGAGAGAGAGAGAGAAGGAGAGAAAGAGTATCAATAAGAAATTGTGACGAGAGAATAAGAAAAGAGTAATATCTATGATATCATCATCATTTCGTTTTAGCAATCGATTGATTTAAAAAGAAAAAAAAAGTATGCTATTTTTGCAAAATTAAAACGAAAAACTTAGAATTAAAACTTGGACGAAAAGTTAAATGTGTTTATTTTGATAAAATTATTTAGTTAAATTATTTAATTTAAAACTTTATATTCTAAGATTAAATAAGATTCTGAAGATATTTTCAAGATTGTTAATTTTTTATTTTATATGACTTATAAACTCGTTATTATTAAGCGTAATTATAAATATCCACAGAGAGGATGATAACGAAGAGAACAACTACATTAGCGACGATGCCTGGGTGAGGTAGTAGGTTGTATAGTAGGGAATGGAAATTCGCGATATACGAAGTCCACTGTACAACTTGCTAACTTTCCCGGTCGTCGACGCCGCAACATTTCATCATTCAACAACATCATCAAGAAGATAGTAATCATATCTTTTTCTCTAAAAAAAAGAATACGCAAAATTTATCAAAACATATGCGTATTGATAACTGCGTGTTGATACTGAGTGCATATAGTTTTGTTAAAGAAAAACAAAGAAGATCTACCACCATAAGTGATATCCATAGATGCTATTATAAATTATTATATTATATATTTCCAGTAATTATAATATAATTATACATTGGCGAGGAGAACCATAATAGAACTATAAAAGGTGGTGGCTCCTCTTACATGATGTAAGTGTATGGATGTATGTGCAAATTAGAAGCGAATAAAAAAGGGAGAAAAAAATGAAATGAGAAAAAGGGCAATGGCGGGCGGGCTGATTGTAAAGCCTGCCGCGTCGCCGGTCCCCTGAGACCCTAACTTGTGACGTCGCGACCGATATCTCACAGGCTAGATTCTCTGGTATTGGCGATGAGTGCTGCCTTTTGCCGATCAAAAGTCAGTCCTAGTCATCAGAGATAGAAAACGGCCGGAAACGTCGACGCTCTGTGAACGAGGATGTTAAAGAGACTCGACATTCAAGGTCAATTATCTACTATTGTATAGTGCATCTTAGAAAGTTAATTGAAAGAATTTGTTACGAATATATAATACTTCAATATTATAATTTAATATGAGATATTTTATGATGAAAAAGAAAAACTCTGTAAAAATATAATTATATAAAATGTTAATAAATTAATGGGACACCTTTAAAGGATCTAGGATTCTAGAGGCCAAAGAAACACAAAAGTTCATATACAAAATATTTAAGATTTATTATTAAGTTATAAATTATTTAATTAAAGTTTTTATTAGATAATGAGAAATATAGAAGACGTGTTCTGTTATACGCTTCATTTAACATGAATTTAAATTGCTTAATAATTTAACAAATAAATCTCTACTACTTTTTTGTTTACCAACTTTTGCATTTGTTTCTTTTGTCTTCTAGAAATCTTCCTTCAAAAATGTTCCACAAATATATTAACATCCTTATATTATTAAAATCCTTACATATATATTCTGTAGATGCATTTTAGCTTTCTTAATCTTAAATATTGTAATATATTAAAATCATACATCAGATTATAATTTTTATTCTTTACATATAAATTCTTTAAATAAAATATCATGAATGGAGTATGTTATTATATAATAAGGATATATTTAATTAACACAAAAAATTTTAATATTAATCATTATATTAATTTTTGTATTTCGATGTACAATTAGATTGTCTCAACAATAATCAATTTTCGATTTTCTTTTATCTTCTATTAAATATGTACAATGATCGATGTAAAATATGTCGGAAGTACGATGATAAAAATCGTTGTAACCATAAAAAAATAGCATATCATCAGAAATATCTTGCGCCCTCTTCTACCAATCTACTTAACTCTGCTGCTGAGTAACCTAAGACCTGTTTTAAATCACATACAAATTTATACACAAATCGTTTCCCATGTACTTTGGAAATCATGTCTCCATCATAGTAATAACGCAATGCGCGACTTAATTTCTCGTAATTCATTGATGGTTTATTTTTACGTGCACCCCAAAGTTGCGCCACTGCTTCTGGTTGATTTAACTTAAATTCTCCTTCTGTCCCAACCCATTGAATAGCACTTCTATGCTCACGATCCGTTAATAATTCCAACAAGAATTGCCATAACTGTATTTGACCACTATTAACTGAACGACTCGAAGTTGCTATAGTAATAGGCGTGGCATCAATGTTCTCCAAAGGAACACTGACTACTCGAGCTTGTTGGTTCACCACTGGTCGTGATTTTGTAATTTTCTGATTGCGAACTTTAATAGTTTTATCAACATTATTTTCTGTAGGTGACACTGGAGGATCTTTCTGAAGGACAGCTATAATGTTATATAATTAATTATGTATTTGTTATTTATTTGATATTAATTTTGATAAATTTTGATAAATATACATACCAACAAATTTACATTTTCGAAGTAATTCTAAATGCGTCCAAAATACTTCTCCTGGATCCAGAGGTACTTTAGCTTGAAATTCTTCCATAGTGAGATTACACAATTGTTGACCTGTGATGTTCCAATCAGCTAATCTTACTGATGCCAAATTAAACTGTCTAACTGCCCACTGAAGCCAGTGTTTAACATGAGTCTGTGTCCATTCTTTTGGATCAGCTGGAATTTTTAACCGTTCCTGTATAATATATACAAATGTCTAGTTAAGATATAAATTACGTTTAAATTTAATATTTAATTTTATAAATATTATACCTGTTCTTTTTTATATTGTGGATCAACCAACCATCTTATAACATTTCGTTTACTATCTTCATTAATAGGTGTAGATGCTAAATCATAAAATATATATTAAAAAATCATATATAAAAATATATTGATAATTTATAATTTTCTTTCAATAAGTATATTAATATGTACCATTATTTTCTGCTAATTCTATATAATCTTCTGCAGGTTTTAAAACATCCACTATATTTATTTTCCTCTGTGTTGCTTTTATCTGAACATTTACTTGAACTAATCCTTCCCCTTGTACACATTGATCAACTAAATTTTTATGACTCTCTAGCTGAAAAAATAAATGTAAGTTTATTAAATTTAAATTCATTCTATTGATTTATTGCATTTATTACCATTTGCGTATCTTGCAACCAAAAAGCATAATCTGTCAATTCTACTCCTAATCTTTGTTCTAATAAATTTCGTAAGGTAGAAAGAGGCTCTCTGATATCCATATGTTGCATTAGAACACCTTCATTGCAATCTTCTCCATTTGCAGAGCCTTCTAATGCAAAACTTGGTTCTACTTCTAAATCAGAACTTTCTTGTTGTAATTGGGCCATTATATCATCTTCTTGGGATAATATAGCTTCTGGTTCCATTTTAATTCGTTTTATCATAGCATAATCAGAATCGTCGTCTGTGTCAAAACTATGTATAATAAACAAATTTTTATACCCAACACTATAAGCTAAATATATATATGTTTGTGTTAATAAGTAAGAATAAATTCATAATAAATTTAATATTAATATAATAAATTTCTAATTACGATTAGATCATTGTAAAAAAAAAAAAGAAACAAAAGAAAAAAATAAAAATAAAGAATTGTAACAAATATGTTTTGTAAAATTCAAAGAAACTGACCTCTTGTCAGAACTCTTTCGTCTACTTTCCAAATCCATGAGAATAAAGTAAGACTATTAAGTTTCTATTATATTAAATATTATTGAACTTTAACCTTTACAAAATAATAATCACTCTTATGAGGTTACAGACATTTTGTAACAGGTGCATGATCACAAACTGTATATTACTTAAGATGCACCGACTCAAATTTGAAACCAGTTTCTTTGTAGATTGCGTCGTAGTAAAATGCAATCTCATATAAGTATTTACTTATATATTATTACAGTGTATTTAGGTACAAACCAGAACAAGAATGAATTTGGCAACATTGTCTTCTTCTTCCTCTTGAACTTTCATTTTAATATAGTAATTAAGTTACTAGAAGTTACTAGTTTCGAATTTTTATAATTATATTTAAATTTTTTTTATTTATTTATAATTGTTCCATAATAATAGAATGAATTATTATTAATAAAGCAATAAAATTTTAGAAATTTATATATTACAGCGATTTTTAACAATATAAAAGGAAAGAAAATATCGAATTAAAAAAAAATCAAATTATAAAAACTTACTGTATATGTATTCATTAGAAAAATTGTTAAAAATAAAATATTAATTTTTATAAATGATATTACGTTTATAATTAATAATGAAGGAAAAATGTAATATATAAATTAAACACTTAAAATAAATCTATCTAAAATAAATCTATTTTTTTAAGATAATATTATATATAAAATTATACATAACTCAAATAAATATTTCATTTCAAAAAAAAAAAAACAAAAATTTTTAAAACTACAACAAAAAAAATTAAATAAATATTTTATAATATATTCTTTCAAAGATGATTGTTTGTATTTTTTGATCATAGATGTATTTTTAGAAAAATAAAAAAATTTTTGGAAATATTTGTAAAATACAAATAACATTAAACAAATATAAACAAAATTATTATACAAATTATTTGTGTATTTATATTTAATTTTTTTTATAACATTTTCTTATTAATCTCAACATTTTTTTAGTTTTATCAAATAATAAATCTTAAATGTTTTATATATCTACATACTGATGTGTTTTACACATTATTTTTTCTAATAAAATATATAATCATAGCCTGCATTTATATAAATAGAGTTAGAATAGATCTAAGTGAATATAAAGTATGTATAAGTATTTGATTTATGTTTATACATATTTATATGATAAAAATTTTAATTAATTAATAAAAATGATTTTATACAATTTAATATATATTCATAAATAAAATATGTAGTATAATATAAAAATATATATATAACTATTTCACGATATAAATTTATAATTAGTTAACGAGTAAATCAGGATATGATTATATGCACAATATACAATTAATTTAGTACAATTTTAGAATATATTATCTTAATTTTTATATGAATTAATAAATATTTTTAATTATCATTTTTATAAAAATTGTGATGTTATTAGTCCATTAAAATTTAAGAAATAATAAATATCTAATTACAATTGGCAGTGATTATTATGAAATGAAATTTGTCAAAAATTATATTAATTATGATTTGAGAATATTTCTATTATATAAAAAAGAAAAAAGAAGAAAGAAAGAAAAACAAAAAAGAAAGAATTCATAGAACAATAAAAACAAATTATGAAAAAGGAATATATAAAATGAAAAGATAATTCTACAATTTTCTCAGATTCAAAATAAACTCATAAAATTGAGAATTAAATTATTATTATTTGCTTATCCTGAATAAAAAACTTTTTGTTTCGTCCAACAAAGTTAGAACAGATTGTCCGGAAAAGTTTGGTAAATCCGCAATAGCGCCACATTCTAATAATTTTTGCGCTACTGATACATGATTATTTTCAAGAGCATGAAAAAATGGTGTTCTTCCTGAACGGTTATCCTTTAGATTCACTTCTGCTCCACTTTTTATTAATGCATTAACTCCATCTATATAGCCATTTAATGAACAATAGTGCAATGGTGCCATTCCTTAAAAATACACAATTACAAATCATCAATATATTTTGATTCATGCGCCATTTTTTAAAACTACACATAATTGAAGATTTAACATTTTGATTTATTTCATTATAGTATTTACCTAATGAATCCACTCGATTAAGTAGCTTAGGATCTATTACATAATTTAGTAACTGTAATAAAAATGGAGATGATTGTTTACTAGCTATGATTATTGCAGATTCATGAAGAAGTTCTAATGAAAGTGGTTTTGCTCCAGCTTTTAATAAAAGATCCACTATATCATTAGATGCATTGCTCTTAATTGCTAATTCCAAACTTGTCTGAAAAGATATTATAAATATAAAAGAGTTTTTTTTCTGTTTTACATTAATTATATCAATAAATAAATATGAGCTTACCATTCCATCTTCTGTTAATGCATCAATATTAGTTTTTGATGCTTTTAAAATTAATAATAGTCTTTGCAGTTCATACAGCTGATTATTTAGTACTGCTCGATGTATATTTAACATCCCATTATTATCCCAATGCTGCATTTCTTCATAATCTTTTTCTATTTGCACAGAGACTTTCTTATATAAGTAATGTGGTGTTGATAATACTTTTTTTACTCTGTTTACATCATTATTGTCATTAAAGTATTTATTAAAATAATCTTCTAAATTTAATGTATCTTCTAAAGATATTGAAGACCATGTAGGGTTTACATTCATATTATTATTTTGTTTAGTTTTAGGTTGTATTTGTATTTTTGTTTGAGTTTGTACTTCTTTTATAATAGGAAGAAAATCAACAGTTGAATGTTCTATTTGTTTTATTCTTTCTAGAACAGGCATATCTTCTTTCACTAATATAAAACTTTTCATATCAAGAAGTCCAAATACATCAGTTTGAATTTGAGAATCATGAACTGTTTTTAATTTTTCAAGTGGAGTAATTGGAATCTGTTTTGCTATACCTATGCCACATTCTGCAAGTGCATTTAAAGCTTTAATTTGTAATTCTTCATCTTTTACACTAATCAGTGCTTCTTTAATTATATTTAAACAGTCTAATAATTTTTCTTTTTTCATGTTATAATTAATCTTTTCAACATTTGTTTCATCAAATTTAGACTCATTATTTAATATATTATCATTGTTACAAATTGTTCTATTTTCACAAAGATCTAATTTATTATTTACCTCATTAAATATACTTTGAGTTTTCTTATCTATATTTTTATTATTTACAGGAATATAACTTTCTTCTTGTGTATTATTAGAATATTGTTTTATGTTATTAGAAGTTGCATTTTTTTCACATATTATTACAACATCGTCTTCATTACAATCATTAATTTTATTATTAAAGTTTTTTGGTACAATATTTGTAGCTTTTTTTATAATAGTTTTATATTTTTTGTTTTCATTAATTCTTGAATTACATAGATTATTATTTGATTTAAAGATTTTTTCTGAAGAGAAAACTTTAGAATAGTTATCTATATTTAAATTAGAACATTGTTTTTTATTAGTTGCTTTCAAAGAGATTCTATTGACATTAACTTTAGTTTTACTTACTACATTACTAGAGACAGATAATTTTTCACATTTTACCAGAGGAAATTTTGATTCTGCTAATTGAGTCATTGAATTTTTAAGATTTGATATATTTGTTTTTCTCAAGATTTCTGGTTCTATAATTATATTATTATTACCATTTATTACATTTTTTTTATTATTCTTGAAAATACATTCCTCTTTTTTAAGTAAAACTTCATCTTTTTCTTTGTTTATCGATGTTATATTATTATTTATTAACTGCATAGTTTTTGGGGCAGTATGTAATGATTCATGTCCATTCTCGCTTAATAATAATAATTTATCATTTTCACTTATTTCATTTACTTTGGCTAAAATATAATGTTTTTTAGATATACTCTTATTTTTATTTTGAATTTCAGCCGATTTCTTATTAATAGCTATTGATAATTCTCTAGGAGTTATAGTTTTTACAATGAATTGTGGTTCTACAGCACAATGTTGTGCTTCTGTAGGAAATTTCTGTAAATCTCTATCATATGATCGAGATCCCAATGACTTCAATCCATTAATGTTATCTTTTGAAGCTACAGAAAAATTAACAGCATTATTTTTTTTATAACTTTTAATCTGTTGATTATAAATAATCTTTTGAGTATTTAATATGTTTTTTTGAGGCAAAAATTGTACTTTAACTTCTCCTAAATCTTTACCATCTCTTGTTTTTACTCTTAATTTCTTTATACCACTTGTAGCCAATGTCTTTTTGGTATTTAATCCATTCAAATTATTATGTACTTCTGTATTAGTAATTTGTTTGCAATCCTTTGGTATAAAATTACATTTGGATGAATTAATCATGCTTGGAAACTTGTGAGGTAAATTAAATTCCCGTTTGCATTCTAAGACAGGAATATTAATATTTGTTACTCTACGATATTTTTTTAAAGGTGGCGGATGTAGAGAATCCATTTATGTTCAGTACAGGCAGAATTTCAAAGACTTATGAAATTCCGCGTATAATAAATAAAAAAAATTTTAAAGTATATGATCACGTTTTGAAATATATTGCACTTAACCTATACAGACAATAGTTGAACACTTATTTTTTATAAATACACCATTATTTATATGATAAAAAATTATTTTTCATAGCAGAATCAACTTTCATTCAAAAATTGAAATACGGCGATACATAATTAGGATTAACCGTTTTATATAAAACGGGACATCCTTGTATCGAAATCTATTGCCATCTATTTTAATGTTTTGAAAACTATATTTAGTTAAAAAGTTTCTATTTAATCTATATTTCATAAATTTTAAATTTTATTAAACTGTTAAAAAATAAAATTTATTGATTGTAACATTGAATTAATTACAATAAAATATAAATTTTTAATAATTTTTATAATGATAAATATCGATAATACTTTATTAAATATAAATAAAAAAATATGAATTTCTATTAATGAAAATAATGAAATATATTTCTAGTAATTTTCATAATCGATAACATACGTTTCATTCTATTATTAATAAATGAAAAATTATAAATTTCTTATAATAAATTAATAATAGAAAATATAAATATTTTTAATATATTTGCATAATAATTCGAAATAAATATTTTATATCGAACCATAGTCTTATCATATAGTTAGGTATAACTCATAATGAATATATATTCCATAATAGATTTTTCGTCAATATATTTTTTGCAATTATTAAGTTACTAGTTTATTAGTTTGAAATCCGTAATTTTTTATAATTTTATAAAATTGCTTGTAGCAATATATATTATTATTTCAAGTTACATAAACAAAAATTGTATATAAATATAATAAATTGATTATAATTAATGCAATATTTACTTTAATATTCAATATTTAATATTTATAATAACTATTTTATTCTTTTTTTTGTGTATATATATAATATAATTGTTTAATAGAAACTTTAAAATTATAAAATTAAAACTTCAAAATTCTTATTTTATTTTATCTTTTATTTTAATTTTTAACATTAATTTTTAACATTAATTTAATATTAATTTTTATTAGAATAATAATTTATAGTAATAAAAATATTAATTATAATATTATATTATAATTTCATATTTAGAATTAAAATGTATTTTTTTTTAGATTTTACTTATAAAGCATTGTTCATATTTAGTAACTTAATCTGTTGTATAAAACATAGAAATTAGTATGATAAGTGTTGGTATTACTGATAATAAATTTGTTTTTGATGTTGAAGTTACTGTGCATTTCATTAGATAATTAAGTAGTTAAAATAAATATATACAAATATATAAGCTTTTGAAAAATTTTTATTAAGAAATGATTGTATTCTCTTCTTAAGTATATATTAATATTAAGTTCAATCAGAATAGTATTGTATTATATATTATAAAATATTCTTTGATCAATTTTTGTTTAATCGATATTTCTATTATGAAAATCTAATTAATGTGGAATGAAAAAATTTTAACTCAAATATCATTTGACAGAAATCAAGTTGGTAAATATTCCATCAGGTTATATGATTCGTTGTTAATCTCACTTTAAAGCGTGCGCCACGTGTTCTATTAGTGTTGCGCAAGGAGAGAGGGAAAATTTGTTAGGAGGGAGAGAGAAATGCCAGCTGTGCTCAAATTCCACTCGTGGCAGTGGCTACGAATACCGATTAGTTGTGAGAACTGGTTGCATAAACGTATGGAGTGAGAATACAGAAACAGAATACAGGTTGTTCGCCTAATCATGGACGATCGCCGGAACAGCCGTGAAGTGATTACCATATTGTTCCTGTGCCTTCTCTGGTATGGGATTTCAAGCAGCAGTAATGTAGTGGGCAAAATGCTGTTATCGGAGTTTCCCTATCCGATGACAGTGACTATGGTTCAGTTAACCTCGATCACGGTTTATTCAGGCCCATTCTTTAATCTATGGGGTGTAAGGAAATATTCAAATGATATTCCCTGGGGATATTATCTCCGGTTGATCGTACCACTCGCTCTAGGAAAATTTTTGGCAAATGTGTTCAGCCACGTCAGCATTTGGAAAGTGCCCGTTTCATACGCTCATACTGGTATGAGATATTATTTTGACAGTCACGTGTATGCATGTCTATATGTTTAAAAATAAGCAAATACAAGCATTCTTAATTTCTAAGAATATAAGAATTAATGTCATGTATTACTTTTATGTCAATGCTTATATTGTGATAATGACGATAATCAGCTGATTTTATTTGTTTATTCACTGATAAGAAATGATTTAATATTTCTTATATTTGATAATTATATTTTTGAGTTTTATATATTTGATATGAGTTTTATTGATAAATAATCTGTTAATGAAAAAAGTAAACATTTAAAAAAAAAAATATTCTATCTAAATCTATTTTTTAATAATAATTATATAGATTTCTTTTAATTATTGCACAATAAATTTTCAAATGCATGTATTTTAGAAACAGTTTATAAATATATTATTTATTTTTGGTTTTATAAATCACATGTATTAACTGAAGTTTGGCTCTGTCCCAGTGAAGGCTACAATGCCCTTCTTCACGGTATTTCTCTCAAGAATCATATTGAAGGAAAAGCAGACTTGGAAAGTGTATCTTAGCCTAGTCCCAATTGTGATAGGTGTAGCAGTTGCTACACTCACAGAACTCAGCTTCAATATGATTGGTTTATTGAGTGCCTTAGCATCTACTATGGCATTCTCTTTGCAAAATATTTATTCTAAGAAGGTACTTATCTTGGTATAATTTTACCTTATATCGATAGATTTACATATAATATAAATAATATATTAATTTTTCAGGTGCTACATGACACAGGAATACATCATTTAAGACTTTTGCTTATTTTAGGCCGTTTGGCATTGATATTATTCTCCCCTATATGGTTATTATATGATTTAAGGAGGTTGATATATGATCCAGCTACTAGCGAATCAGCAGACATAAGTTATTACATAATAGGCCTGTTATTCTTGGATGGTGTGCTGAATTGGTTCCAAAATATTATTGCTTTTTCTGTATTATCTATTGTTACCCCTTTAACTTATGCAGTTGCAAGCGCAAGCAAACGAATCTTTGTAATCGCAGTTACTTTGTTTGTTCTTGGGAATCCAGTGACATGGTTGAATATATTTGGAATGACATTAGCCATTCTTGGTGTGTTGTGCTATAATAAAGCCAAATACGATCAAAGAATGGAAAAAGAAGGTCAGACAGCGCTTCCCAAATATCATGATAAAAACCGTAATGGCAACAGTAATAATTCCTTCATGGTAAACGGATGGACTGGAAAAAAACAACAGTTGCTTGCAGTCTAGTCTGAATTGTTAGATTCATTTTATGTTTGACAAGTTCATATGAGTTTTTTCTGCCAGTGAATGATATTTTAGCCATAAGGATTTGACTATTTATATGAAGAGTTTATAATGGGAAAGCTTATAGTTAGGTCCTATAATACTAGTTAAAACAATATTCACAGATCAAAACTCATATGATGGCAAAAGTATTTATACATATATGTGTATATTTTTTATTAGTATTATTCTGCACAAAGGTATAATTTGCCTAGTATTCGAATTTGGTTGTTTTTCTTTTTATTCGTTTTCGAGATTATTTTAAAAACGTTTTTATGTTTATGTTATCTTGCTTTTGACGGGAAAATAAACTTGCTGGCAAGGTGGGATATATATATATATAATTTGCAAAATTGATGTTTATAGCTAATTGCTGGGTCAATTAGCCTTTAAGATTGATGACATTCCCGCGTCGCGAAAACAATAATGAATAGATAGATATCCGGTTTCAATCGTACTCGATCGATATCGAACGGCGTTCATATAATATTGATTAGGTTTTAAATTAAATACTTTCCTCCAGCTATTAGCTCAGGTGATATGATATATAGATAATACGACTCAATTTCATCAATTTGTTAGATTGTTACAATATTTTAATCCTTTATGAAAATTCCTCTTAATAATATTCTGGGAAAATTTCTATATACTATGGATTATTATTAAAATAATTTTTTTTTTATATAATATTATATTAATTTATGAATTATAAGAATATAGTTGATGGAACGAATACAGTGAGGTTCTAGATATCGTAAAAGCACGAAATGGTTTTTTGGAAATTAATTTAATTTAAATCCATTAATCGTAATCCTATTAGAATCAGGAATCGAGTGCCTTATTATATTAGTTCCAGCAATTATACCTTCTTTTATAAATTTTCAAAATAATTCATAGAGGATTAAATACACGTTGTTCTAGAGGCGTATGTTTTGGTATGATATGTTTTGATGGTATGCGTGAGTTGTATGCAGGAGAACATGTTCTAGCTAAAAGCAATCTATACATTTATTTTTATAAATAAAATACAGGTGTGTACAAAAATATACCAGATATATTCACCACCATTTTCCATATTACACTTTGATTCGCTCTCCTTTACAGAGTTTTTATAATGTTAGGAGGAGATACTGATCGTGCTATGGTGAGATCTAAACGTGGACCAGCCGCAGCAATCAATGGAACAGCCAAACAACAGTCACAATCTTCCGTGCTAGCCTCGTTTACTCGAAGAATTCTGTCATAAGGTTTTAAAACACCGTCGCACGGTCCCCCAGGTCGAAGACGATTAATATAAACTCCACGTTCGTATAGACCATCAGACACTGAGAAGCCAAAGTCCTCGTACACTGGGTCTTTATGCAAGGAGACATGGACTATTTGTTGTGGTCTATCTGGATTATTGCATTCTTGTGGTCTAAAAATTAGAAGAAAAAAAAAATTAAAATACACGATTATTTTTAGAAGTTTAAGTCAAAAATTATATTCCAGAATATTTTAAAAAAAATTTTATAAGTTTTACAATTGTTTCTATCTATAATATTTTATTTATTTATTATTTATATCTATTATATTTTACCCAGGATAAGGAGGCATAGATAGTTCTAATTGTCCACTATCCACAGAAGCAGTGTCCCAGAGCCTTAGAATCTCCGGACCAGTTCCATTATTCTCTCCCAGTTCTCCCCAAGAATCCACTGCACTATCTACGCTTGGTAGACTCTCTCTAGCCGGTCGAAGAATTCCTGGAGAATATTGTTGCACTGAATCGCTACCTATGATCGAGTCCTTGCAGTATTCTCTATAAAATTCAGTATGTTTTCCATTATTCCTTTTTTATCATTTCATCTTTTAGATTTTTAGAAAAAGATATAAAAAGTAATAAATTAAAAAAAGTAGTGATAGAAAATTCTATATCCATATTTCTAGATCATAAAAATTACCTTGCTTCTGAAATAGGATTCGGTTTCCTCACAGTCAGAGAGATAACAGAACTTCCTGGTCGATGTAACAATTGTGCGGCTTGTCGGAGGTCGCCAGGGTCTAATTTTTGTCCGTCTATTGCTAATAATCTATCCCCTGGTGCTAAGCTGCCAGTTCTATAGGCTAAAGATCCCTTGCGAACCTCGCTAATGATCAAATCTTCGTTGACTGTGAGGCCCACATCAGGCTGGCCGCCTACAGGTCTTGCCACACGCACTGTGAATACTCCTGAACTAGGTACAACTGGTCCACCAACTTTGTATTCTATCACCAGTTCCATCTTTCAGATAAAAAAAAAAAAATTTTAACTTACAAATGATTAAGAATTAAAATATTAATTTAAAAATAGTTTTGATAATTTGGCTCAAGATTTGGATATTAAAATTACTAAGAGTTTAAAAAGGTAAAAATAATGGAATAAAGGATAATGTACTATATTATATACTATAATTTATTTATAGTATATCGATACACGTACTACTTGAGAAGTTTCCAAGATACCAGTAACCTCAGCTGGTTGAAGATCTCGAAGCATTTTACGATTAATTGCAAGCACTTTGTCTCCAGGAAGGAGTACTCCACTGCGTTCTGCCGGACCTCCAGCCTCTAATAGACTAACAATATAATTTAAACGGTCCTCGGTGAGCTTTAAAGCTAGACCAAAACCCTTATGATCCGGTCTGAGGACTACAGTTAGGCTTTCCGTAGTCTGCAAAGTCTGATTAGAAGTCTGCTGCGCCTGCGGTTGCGCCCTTCTTTTTACGGTTCTCTGCGAAGCACTGGGAGGTCTAGGTAAGATCTGCAATCTAGCTATGCGGGAATCATAATTATTTCTGAGTAATTTGGCAGCCGTCACAGCATCCTGGACAGGAGTTTCGTCCACTGCCAACAATTTGTCGCCAGGTTGCAAAGCTCCACATCGATCTGCAGTACTTGCTGGTCTTAAACTTTCAATGTACACTCCATTTGGCGTTTCTCTGACCGTCAGACCTAATTCTCCTACATATTATAGTAAAAATATAAAATTTGATCGCTTTATGCAATTACTTCTAGGATCAAATGATTAGTTTGTCCATATATTATCAATCAAATAAATTTATCAAATTAACATATATATATATATATATGTATAAATTATTTATTTAGATTAGAGGAGGAAAAAGAGTTGATAAATTAAATTACCCGAGAGTCCACGTTCTAGTTGCACCAACAAGGGACCGGAAGTAGCTGCCCTCGCCTCTTCCATGTTAGCAACATCATATTCAATAGTCAAAGAAGCTACAGGAGCATCAGAGCTCCTCCTAAGCGCCCTTTGAGCCTCAGCTAAGGTCAGACCCCTCAACTCGGTATCGTCTACTGCTAATAATCTGTCTCCAGGCCTGACTCTTCCTTCTTTAGCCGCTGGCCCATCGGACTTCACCCCGGTAACCACCAAAGCCCTGGAAACTCCACCTCTGAGGGTAACTCCGAGACTTCCCCCCTCACGTTCCACCTTACTTGGGCAACTTTGGAGGATACACTGGAAGGAGTGGATACAGGAGCGTCTTGATCATCTAATAGCAAAAAACTGTATGGATAATAAGACTGGGGTGAGATCTCGTCTGGTCGAGCTGAATCTGAACTGGCAGACGTGGCCACGCTCCCTGGCCTAGCACGATTTTTGTGCGAGCGCATGCTGGTCAGCCTCAGCGAGCTGAACATCCTCGACTATCTAATCTATCCGTAGAATATTCTACCTGCCACTGTTGCTGTTTCCAAATCGAGCAATCGTTACCATTGCTGGAGAGGCAAATTTAAGAAAATTCTGATTCAAATATCCTTTTTTTTTAACCATTCCCTTGGAAATATTCCTATTCTAATTTGGCATGCACGAATCATTCAGTTCATCCATTTATTATCCATGGCAATTCTGATCGAATTGAATTTTACAAAATTGATGATTATTCAAATCGGCGTGAAATCGATTCGAATATTTCCACGAAAAACGTTCAACCTTTTCGCGAGATCATCGCACTGATATCATCTCACTTATTCTCACCGTGATGATCAAACCGCGTAGATCACACACCCACTAAATTGTAATAAATATTCATTTTAGGAACGATTAATGTGTCGAGGGAAAAAAGTGGAGACGAGGAGCCGAAGGAGGAGCGGCAGCAGGTCGCCGAGGAGCCGTCACGGATCGGCGATGATTCTTATTGCTCGCGGCGTAAACAGCGCGTCTGTGTGTCTTTGTTCGCGGGTTCGAGGAGCCGCCGAGGATGGAAACCCGTCGTGAAGCGAGCGTGGAGAGAACTGTAACGAGTGGCGATGTTTGTCGAAAATAGCCGCACGATGTAGGGCCGCAATCGCGGTAGTGTCGGATCTATTTATAGGAGGCGGGAGGGAAAGAGAGAGGGAAAGAGTGTGCGCGGCGCCCCGCAGTCGCTGCACCGTCAAATAAGTCTGCACTTCTCGTTAAAAGCTTCGATTTCGAGCGTCTGTGCTCCCTCGAACGTCATAAACTTGTTGTATCCTCTTAGTTCCTGGCTTTATCTCCCTTCTGCCACCCGTTTACCCCTTCCCGATTTCACGGGCGGGATCCCCTTTTATTTTTAGTAGCCGATATCCGCGACATCGGATGAAGTAATTGAAGCTTAGAATTATTTTACGCAGCGCGACCGATGATTTCGATGGTCGAGGTGGCGAGAGTCTCGATTACATCATTTTGGGGAATTCGCAGTTTCACATTTTTATTTAGGATATTGGATATTTTTTTACGATTTAAGATAATAAAATAAAGGACACG